TCAATCTGGCACTTTAGTCAACTCAAATCGTCAAAAGGCAGCATGTCATGTTATACGATACTTCTGCAAATGGTAGACAAGCAACGAAAGGCGTTGTGGTCAAAATGTTATAATGAAACTAACTATAAGTATACTGGATTTGATAGAAGTTGTTAAGAGCATTACATTTGCCCTGGTTTAGAATTGGATAGGAAACCGTATTCCCTCCAGCAAACTACTTTGTGCAGCATTTTATGGAAAAATATGATAATAGGATTCAGAGAAAAAAGAAGCTTACTTGCATAGTCACCCATAAGTCGAAATCGTTGTTTCCAGAAAGGGTGGCGATTACCCTTAAGACTTGCTGTATACACATCAGCATAGTGGATGCGAAGACAAGCGTCGTATAAAGTAGCAAACCCTGAAACAGCTGCCTTTCAGAGGTTATGAATAGCCTTGACTTCCACTAATAACTAAATGGTGCTTCAAACATCTTGAGATTATGCCATAGTTGGTGATCAGCGTAATAGCAATCAGCATCTTAGTAGTGAGAAGGTGGACGTGGATGCCGTACGATACCTAACGTTTTTCTGGTAACTTGCAAAAGCAAAAACTGGACTATGAAAAGTGCATGGAGACATCTGACTTTGTTTGACAACCATTTCAAAGTAAAACGGAAGCATAGTGAGTAAGAGTAAAGGCTAATCTGATTCCATACTTCAGCCCCCTTCTTACACAGGCGAACAGCCTTCTGATTGCCCGAAATTTGAGTATTTTGTATTCTAAGAGATGTCACGTGTACAGCAGGGCCACAGTTTCATAAGTGACTTGTGGGATTTCCTTCACTTGAAATTCTTTTTGCGTAAATGCTTACGGCTGCTAAGGAGTCAGAATACAATTCAATTGTTCCATTTTCCATCGCTTTTCAAGATCCACTTGATTCTCTCAAGAGGAGTGCTCCGGAGGGCCATGTTCATACGGAGGTATTGTGGAGAGCGTACTGCTTCTGCTTGCTCGCCCATGTACTTCTTCCTATCAAGTCTTCCCTTATATTCTCGCTCACGGCATTGCAGGCATCTCTTATCAGGGCTCTCGTATAAGATATTTTGGAGATCGTGAACCAACTGACCAGCTTGCTACCATTTTCAAAGCCTTCGCAGTATTTTGTTCTAATGAAGATCCACGTGTAGTAACCTTGATGGAGCTTGTTAGCTAATACCACAACCAATTTGTTTCATTGTCTATCAATGTTTTCCATCTCAGCATCTTTCAAGCGCAACGTATGGAAGACTTAGTCAGCTAGATGGGTTTCTATGGATTCCAATGTTTCCCTTACCATCATAAGAGGGTTAGTTTAGCTTCTTATGTACACCATTGGCAAAGCTCTGCAACTTGCGAGTCAAGTGAGATAACTATACACACTTGAGTTGCCATATTTGTTGGGCTGCCAGATTTCTATCCTACGTATTTCCCTTCGTACTTCGCTTGTGTACAGGCATTTTGGTTTGCTTAACAATAAAATTGTTTTTTCTCGGATAGTATGGCTTCTATATCTCGTTTCTCCAAAGCCTTCCCATGACCTCTATAGAAGCGTCCCTTGATTTTGACATTCTTTGATAATTGTATTGAGAATAATGTAGTAAATGACGCGGTAACAGTAGTAATAATAGGTCTGAGGGCAGCAAAAACTCAATATAAAGTGTAAATAAATTTGACTGACCTTTTCATGACAAGAAATTGATGATTTGCCACGGGTTCTAGACAATTTGCGCCAATCAACAAAAACTTTAATGTTCAAAGTGACACTGATAATAGCATAAATAAGGCCCGCTCCGCCATACAAATATCTGGTTTTCTGTAAATAGGATTGTTTAGGCTTTGCTTAACTCGAACCATTCATTCATTAATAGACCAATCAAAAATATTTGGTCCATTACTGTCAGTGCAGTGACTATCAGTGAAGCTTCAGAGCATCTTCTTGTAACGAAATACGATGCCTAGTTGTATTAAATTAAGACTAGACAATCAAAGGTATCCCAAGAACCGGTCAACGCAAAATATGCTCTGGATCTTCTTACACCCTATATTGGAGAGTGGATCTTGCGATTGAACTCGCTGTTATAGAAAGCTCTTGTCTAGTTAAAGGCACAATTCACGATAATTCAATGGGCGGGGACGTCGATGGCCTTCCCA